ATCTCGGGACGAGATTTTTTATAAGGGGGGAGGGCTGTAACACCCTGGTGTTATGACCAGCATTTAGGCACTGCAAATCATGCATATTATGCATCATCAAGCATCATAATCATACATGCCTAATCATGTAAATAATAACTGAAACCCTGCTTCCAAACATTTGAAACATGCTCGTGAAACATGAATGTTGCATACACTTGTTTAGAGTTGTGTTTGCCCAAATTATGCTTGCTAGGATAGTAAAACATGTTTGGCTATGATTGTAAATCACCTAGAATTATTTAGCGCAATTTTTGGAGCAAATTTTGTATTCAAGTTATTGCTAAATTTTGCTTTAAAAATAACTCTCTAAAATTAGGGTTTTGAGTTAAAATTGACTTTTATTTTATAATTCAAAATCTAGCAAGAATTGGACTTTAGTCATAAAAGCAAAGTTGTAGAGGATTAAATTCTAAGCAATTTTTATTTTTGGGACATTTTCAAAAGATGTCATTTTCTTGGTCAAAATGATATTTGAAAACCTGTATTTGAAAATTTCTTAAAAATAGAAATTGAGAAAAATGTTTTCTCCTTTCGCGGGCCGTCGCCTCCCATCTCGGCCCACGGCCGAAGCCGGCCCGGCCTGTTGCCGCGCCCCCCCCCACTCGTGCTCCCCGCGTTCGGCCCAGCCCAGCGCCGCGTTTGGCCTGCGCTGCGCTGCGCCGCGCCGTTCCCGCGCGTCGCGTCTCGACCGCGTCAGAGCGCGACCGCCGCGTGGCGACCATGCGCCGGCGACGCCCGCCGCGCGGCAGGCACGGCCTGCCTCGCCCTCCATGCGCGCGCCTTCTTCTGCCCGACCACGCTACCTCCTCCTCATTCCACCTCCCGCTCTCTCAGACGCAGCGCCAGCAGCTCCCGAGCGCGCCACGAGCTCGCCACCGACGCCGCCGCTGCCTCGCCGGCGGCATACCCCCTCCCATGCCTCAATTCCTCGATTCCCGCCACCTGAAGCTCTGCCTAGCATCCCTGCCTCTCTTGCGCTCACTTGCGGCCACCGTCGTCGAGGTAAGGACCAAGCTCGTCCGCCTCCTTCCTCTCCGGCGAGCGCGCTGCCGCGGCCAGGTGGTTCGTCACGCCGCCGGGCCAGCTCCACCATCCCAGCCAGTGCGGCTTGGCATGGCGTGCATGCTGGCACCACCCGCGCCACCGGAAGGGCTCGCCGCCGGTGAGCATCGGCCGGCGGAGCCCCTCCCCTGCCCCCGGGTCGCTGACCCGCAGGGCCCAGCCGTAGTGGCTGGCGAAGGCCCCGGGTGACTGGCCAGTGGGCCGGTTGACCCGCTGGGTCCCGCCTGGCAGCCCCTCTAGGTGCACAGCACCGGGTGCACCCAACAATTTCGTCGGCTGGAGTTTAAAAAGGATTTCAAAAATGAATTTTTAGATTTCTACATAAATGATTTGGAAAATGTTTGTGTACTCATTTTGGCTCCAAATTTGTTGAAACAAATTTTGCTAGGTTCCTTGTCACCAGATCTACATGATAAAATTATTGCATGTCATTTTTGAGATACTTTTCTGTAGAGCTTTATTTAATCCTTGATATTGCTGATAACTTGAAAAATATGTAGAAAAACCTATAGGCTTCAGAAAAATATGATTCCAAGTTTGTTAATCTTCTTATGTAATGTACTTCCTAGGAAAAATATGTGTCATGCATGTACTGTAGAAAAATTATGAGGTGTAGTTCAAGTGCCTTTAATGGCTGGTTTTTGTTATTTTTGCTAGAGAGCAAAATTTGTATAAAACATGCATGTGATAATTTTTGTACAGTGATTATTTGCTGTGTAGAACATAGGAAAAATATTTCCTCTGTTGTTTGACACTCTTCACAGTACAAAGTATTTTCAGGTTCATAATCATGCCATAGCTTGTTATTTTTGTGTAGGCTAATCCACTCATTCAAATACCATGAAAATCTGATGGTAGACTACTTAGGGTAGTACTGTGATATGGTAATTTTCTAAGATTTTTCTAAGCAATAAAAATAGATGTTGCTATTCAAACCTATTATTAATTAGGGTTTAATCAAGTGTTGCTTTATGTGTGATTAAGAAATTAGTGAAGCTTTGGTGTATCTTTGAAGCATTTAATGAGAGGTGTTGACTTAGCATATTAGTAGTAGAAGAGAATACAGTAGATGACATGTGCTTGTAGTATATGTTTTTGGATGATGTTGACTACCTTGCATTCAAGCATATCCATTGTATTCATCTCATCCGATGCACTGATTGCATAAGCACTTACGCACATTGCATCATACAGGATCGTAAACCGAGAACCCAGTCGTCATACCCGAGGAGCCCGAGGAGCAGCTCGAGGTGCAGCCGTAGGAAGTGCCCGAAGCCGACGAGGAGGACGTTGAGGAACTTCCGGAGTGCCCCGATCACCGTCCGATCTCCTTCGAGAGAGGCAAGCCCCGGAGCATTTTCTCCCCGGTTTACAATTATTAATTAACTGCTTTACTTTAATTGATGCATTACGTTCAGGAGTTGTTTGCAACCGTTGCTGCATTATACCTTATCTACCTTTGTTATACCATATCCTTGTTACCCTGGTATCCGCAGTCGAGTCAATGCTTAGCTGGCTTAGACCGGTAGAAGTCGGGTGATTTCCTGTCACCTGCGAGCTATAGGTGGTTACCTAGATCTGCTTGGATGACTATGTAGTCATGGTATAACTAAGTGTTAAATGAAGTTGAGACCGGGCGGAGACTTACAGAGTTTTGGACTGTAGTGCTTTCCGTCTGTGTCGATTAAGAACCGACCGTTGTTGGGCCTCGAGTTATGTTGAACGCATGCCTACATTTAGCTGGCCGAATAAAGTACCTTTCGACCGTGAAGCTGGGAGATTATTCGGGCCGAGTAGATTGCCCGCAGCGCACTGTGCCGGAGCAGGTGTGGTAGGACACGGGGGCGAGATGATAAGACCAAAGTGCAGTCAGTCGGCCCCCGGGTACATGTGGTTCCTGGTAAACTCGAGCTTCCTGGATAGTTGACTCGGTGACCGATACCTTACTTTAGCGGGTGAATGAGGTTTGTGTAAGGAATAAATCACCAGCTGGTTAGGAATCGATTCAAATCGCCATCGCTCCTGGATAGTGAGCACTTGACTTGAGTTACTTCATCGTAGTAATGTTGATGGAACACTTGGACAGTTATAATAAATATGACATTATGTAAGTTGATTAATGATCATGGGTTATCATTATTTGCTTAATCTCATGTTTACTCTAGTATAGGTGCAAATGTAGTCGACGGGTTAATAATAATTAACTTGACAATAATGCTTTTGGAAAGATTCTTGAAATGCTAAAAATGCTTCTTTTTGCAAATGAGTCAGCTACCCTACTATAAAGCCCTTCATATTCCTTGGTGTCAATTATTTTCGGTTATGTCGGGTAAGTCTAGCTGAGTACCTTCTCGTACTCAGGGTTTTATTCCCACTTGTTGTAGATGGGCAGATGTATTACGGCTACTGTATCAACTGTCTTTATCCTGCGATGGGTGATGCTTAGGACTATGGGCATGGTCATTCCTTACGTCTCGTCTGATGCTTTTGTTGGAGATGATCATTAGTTGGCACTGTATTTGAACTCCGTGTGAGTGTGTGTGGTTTTGAACAAATGGCTTCCGCTACTTTTATTCGAACTCGTTTTGTAATAACTATGTTTAAACTCTGATGTATCTGAGATGCAAACTTTTATGTAATATGTGATGGTGACCGTTAAATTTATTACGATCTTGGCTGGGATGTGAGTTGGTTTGAAATCCTTCGTGATTTCACGGACTACCGGGTTATACGGGCTTAAGTTTGCTAAATCGTCTGCTCTGACGAATGATTTTCTTACTTAATTTCATATAATTGGTCGGTTCTGTTACAGTCAGCGCCACCATGCATGGCGCGGCACAGGCTTTTCGCCGCGCTAGGAAAACAGGCGCGGCAAAAAATGTTAGTTTAAAAAAAATTAAACAGTGTTAGATTTAAAATTAGTTTACAAAAAGTATTAAAAATAAAAAAGAATATGTTTACCCAACAACCATATGTTTTGTGCAGTTTCAACACATAAATTTTTTTGCACCATAGAATTAAGATCTAATAGCCTCCATCTTTCTTCTGCCTCCAGACAATCAAAAGATCACAGATCCACATATCATAAGAAATATTTTTTTTCTATTCAAGGAAAAAAAAGGTTCCATGTGTTTTCGTCTTCGTTGCTGCACAGGTCGTAAGCACCACTGGTCAGCGTCGAGTCGATGTGGTTGCCGTTGCCAACAGCGTCGTCGACGGTCTCTTGGGAGAGAAGCCAGCCGATCGCAAGGAGCCAGCCGTGACGAGCAACAAGAAAGTCTCTGGTTCCAACAATTAAAACAAAATGAAAAGAGAAGACAGTTGAAAAGAGAAGAGAGTTGAAGAGAGAGAGGGATAAAAAAAATCTATATGTTTTTTTTTTGCTAAAGGCTAAAACACATGTGTGTTGTATAACATTTTTGATTAAAAAAAAATCTAGTTGGTCACGTAAACTGGCAAAGAAAAGGGCGGGGAAGAGCATGCATCTTCGTCCATGAAAAGGACATCACAGTAATACTCTTACTTTCCAAAGAAATGTTGTTGGTGGCCGTGGCTGCTAACTGACGAGTGACGACCATGCTGGCGAATTCGATAAAGCGAGATCAAGAGCTCCAGACGCACATGTATCACCTGCGGCCACGACATGCCCGTCAAGACGGCCAGGTACAGATGCAATCGAGAACTCGTGCACAAGTCTCAAACGAAGCTTCCCCGTGTACAGTCAATCAAATGGCAACAGCTCACTGCTCACATTCTTTCTATATAAAGCCCATTGGCCCTGGCACACTTTACAGGCACAACAGGGAGCCAAAACACAACCTCAAACACTCTCCCGATCCTCATCCTCTGCGTGCACGGTGCATCTCGTCGAACAGAAGCGAAAGCTAGAGCTGCCAATGGCGGGAGCGGGAGCCAACGACCTGAAGGTGCTCGGCGTGTGGACGAGCCCGTTCGTGATCCGGGTCCGCATCGCGCTCAACATGAAAGGCCTGGCGTACGAGTACGTGGAAGAGGACCTGGGCAACAAGAGCGCGCTCCTGCTGGGCTCCAACCCGGTGCACAAGAGCGTGCCGGTGCTCCTCCACGCCTGGCGCGCCATCAACGAGTCCCAGATCATCCTGCAGTACATCGACGAGGTGTGGGCGGGGACCGGCCCGGCCGTGCTGCCGTCCGACCCCTACGAGCGCGCGGTGGCGCGGTTCTGGGCGGCCTACATCGACGACAAGGTGAGGTCGGCGTGGCTGGGGATGCTGTTCAGGTGCAAGAACGAGGAGGAGAGGGCGGAGGCGGTGGCGCGCGCCGGCGAGGCGCTCGACACGCTGGAGGGCGCCTTCAGGGACTGCTCCGAGGGGGGGAAGAAGCCCTTCTTCGGCGGCGACGGCATCGGCTTCGTGGACGTCGTGCTCGGCGGGTACCTGGGGTGGTTCGGCGCCGTCGGCAAGATCATCGGGCGCAGGCTGATCGACCCGGCTAGGACGCCGCTGCTCGCCGCGTGGGAGGACCGGTTCCGCGCCGCCGACGTCGCCAAGGGCGTCGTGCCCGACGACGTCGACAAGGTGCTCGCGTTCCTGCAGACCCTGCTCGCTGTCTCCAAGTGAGAGCGTTTCGTCGCGTTACGTGTGTGTACTGTGTACGACCTACGATGAGCGAGCTCATCTCGATCCGCCTGTCACTCAGCTTTGCTTCTTCCGTCAATAATCGGTATGCTTAATAAATGTACAACAGTAGTTGTTGTCTTGTAACAAGGGCTGCCTATTAATAATTGATTTTGCTTCTTTCTTCTACTTTTTTTGGTTTGTACTGCAGAAGTTCAGTCCTGCTCAGTATTTTGGAGCTGGACAGAAAATCTCAGGCACAGATATGTGAAATGTACTCATGAAACGGTTAGCAGAGACCACAGAGAATCCTTGCGGGCTTTGGAACCTTTAGTGACGAAAGTGCTGGCGCAATCATTGCCGGTGGCCTGGAACATCAGCCGTGCAGGTGCAGCGCCGTGAATCGTGATGCCAAATTTCCTGGCTTTGCCAACAAAGTCCTGAGTGCTGACCACTTTTGTCGGGCCGTGATTCGAACAGATAACGTTCATCCAGAATAGTAACTAGTCCACCTCTCTAGTCAATCCTAATCCCCATCACGATCACACCACAAATCAATCGTCAGTTAACGGTGTGCACCTTACCTTGCCAACCGAACATCTTAGGCCTGGTTTAATATACGTATATTCACTTCAATCTACATGTGTTGGAGTGAAATGAAATATAACTTAATTTAATTTCACTATAATTTACTTTAACACATGTAGATTAAGATAAATACATACGTATCAAACACGGCCTCCAGTGTGGACTTGCGTGGCGCGCGTTCGCAACGGCAACTCGGCAAGCACGGAGAAGGCTGTTGTATGTATCCCGCAGTGAATTTGCCACAAAATCAGGGAACAAGGATAGCTGAATTGAGAAATTGGACAAGCAGCGGTAAAGAAGAACACGAGAGCGAGGTACCGCTCCGGTCGGCGAGGGAGGACGAGATGATGCGTGGCCACTACCGAACTGATCAAGAGCTGGGCGCTCACTGCTTCGGCAATGAGTTGGGGCGTTGGGCTCAGCATGAGTTCTGGCTGGACCAGGCCCAAACAGGACCCGTAGGTATATATTAGTTTCGGAAAGGTTTTGATTAAATTTCTTTAAGATTTGTTTGCACAATCTTTTGGAAGGTTCCACCAGAGCAAAAACTCTAACCAATGTATACTAGTATAACATAGCACTATCATAATGATATACATTGTTCATAACTTTAATAAAATTTATTTAGTATGTTTTTTTTCTTTACATATATGGACCATGGAGGCCTATCCATTTCACTAAATTTCATTATTTAAAAATCAACGCATGTATTTCATGTTTATTTATATTTTATGTTTTTAAAATATATTTTACAAGCTTTATCTAGAGAATTATGTGAAGCAACTTCTTAAGTTATGTGGCTGTTACAAGGGGATGGACGGATTAAGAAGGGCATGGTAATTCTCTATTATCTGTGTTTTCATATGCTTCATCTAATTTTTGAATGAGAAAATCATGTAATATTTTTCCTTATATTATGCAATTAATGTTTGCATTGTAATGATCAATGTCGTGTTTATTTATATTTTACAAGTTTAAAATGATTTCTCTTATATCAGGATTCTTGACACCCCCTATTTAGTTAGATATTCACATTTTTAAAATGTCTCAATCAATCGACTAGTATCTCCAAGTGTCTTTCTTAAACTTACCCTCTAAATCCTTATTTAGAGAGTCATTTGGATAAGAATCGCTCTCTATATCTTCTCACATTTCGACAATTTTTCTATCTTATGTGCGCTTTGGAGAGCCATATCTGATTTCCATATTTGGCTGGCGAGAAACAAGTAATAGAAGATAGCATTATTTGGAGATGTAACTGAAGAATTTGTTGGAGTGCTTTGTTCATCAAAATCTTTGTTCCATTAATAAGAAAGTATATAAAGAGATTCTTGGAGTTGCTCTAAAGTTAGTTATAGAGAAATAGGCAAAATGATCTTTAACATCACTTTTTTTTTTGGTAGGACCGGGTGTGGGTCTGTTTGTTCTTGAGCTTAAATATGCATTTTTTTTAAAAAATAACTATCCTAGCCAAGATGCTCAGGTCCTGATGGATTAAAACCCTAACCTATCTAGCATGAAGACCAATTCATAAAGTAAAGAATCTAGGCCCATAATCATTATGACTCATGTGTGTTTTGCAGCGACATTACTTAGTGAGGTTAGAGTGACACTGGTTGATTGGGCAGTTATGGTTTTCGTGCCCCCTAATAATGCAATTAATTTTGGTTTTCAAATAATGTATGAGAAGGTTAAGGACGAACGAGCTCTAAGTGTTATTTGGTGTTGGAAGACATTTATAGTAGTATAGGTCTTTGTTTTATGCCATGATCATACTATTAAAGGGGTAGTCTAGTGAGCAGATGTGATGCACATGTCACTGGCATTAGGTAGCTCAGTTGAAGCTCAATACTGTACAATAGAGTTAACTTTAATGAGATAATAATAAAATATATGTCATTTTTTTCAAACTGATATACACCTTGATCGCTTGATCGTTTCTGTGACTTATAAGCCGGCTGATGCTGTTTTGTTATGAGAGAAAAATATTGTATCATGATTTATAAGCATGGCTGATACAAAGCGAACAGGGTGATAGTTGGAGTTAGCCTAATTTATTAGGACGCAATGGATTCCAACACACTCGATAGTATTAGTAAAGAATCGCAAAAGATTTAAGAATTAGTCGTTTGAATAATTGTTTTGAAATAAAGGGTAAATGCTATTTTAAAGACATGTTTGGTACAAAGAAAGATATGTGCTGAAACAATACGTGTATATTAGCGCTATATGCGGCGCCCAGCGACATCGCCCGCGCATTCTCCTTGTTTGCTCCTCCTCTCGCGGTCCTCGTCAAGACCGATAGCTTCACGTCCCAAATCGAGCGAGCAGCGACGGTGGCGAGCCTGCCGCGCGCAGCGTCTCATCCGTCCCAAATCGACCCAAACCCATTGCAGACCAGCTCAAACCATGGCAGGTGCGGCGCCACCCGCCCTGCGTATATCGCACGCGCAATTCATCGAGCACCTTCGCTGTGCGGCCTCGTCAGACCGCACCCGTCGCGCCGGCGAGGCTCTCCACGGCTGGGCGCTCAAGTCCGGCGCCGCTTCCCACATGCCTGTCTCCAACTCTCTCATCACCTTCTACTGCTCCCTCCCGCGGCCCCTACTCCGTGCAGCCTTCGTCGTCTTCGCCGACATCCCCGCCGCCTTGCGCGACGTCGCCTCGTGGAACTCCCTCCTCAACCCGCTCTCCCGCTACCACCCCCTCGCCGCTCTCTCCCATTTCCGCTCCATGATGTCCTCCACCGACGCCGTCCTCCCCACGCCGCACTCCTTCGCCGCCGCGTTCACTGCCGCCGCCCGCGTGCCCTCCGCGTCCGTTGGCGCCAGCGCACACGCGCTCGCGTGCAAGCTGCCGTCCTCCTCCGGCTCCAATAATGTCTTCGTCTCGACCGCCCTTCTCAACATGTACTGCAAGCTGGGAGCTATTTCTGATGCCCAGAGGGTGTTTGATGAAATGCCACATCGGAATGCGGTGTCCTGGGCCGCCATGGTGTCAGGGTATGCCACAAGGAAGTGTTCTGAGGAGGCCTTTGAGCTCTTCCGGCTGATGCTTCAGGAGTGCCCATTGGAGAAAAATGAGTTCGTCACCACAGCAGTTCTTAGCGCAGTTAGTGTGCCACTGGGTTTGCGTATGGGGGTGCAGTTGCATGGGCTGGTATTGAAGGATGGCTTGGTGGGATTTGTGTCCGTGGAGAATTCACTTGTCACAATGTATGCAAAGGCTGAGTGTATGGATGCAGCAATGACAGTGTTTGGGTCATCTAAGGAGAGGAACTCCATCACATGGTCAGCAATGATCACGGGGTATGCTCAGAATGGGGAAGCAGATTGTGCAGCTAGGATGTTCCTACAGATGCATTCGGCAGGATTCTCACCAACTGAATTCACCTTTGTTGGGATACTGAACGCATCCAGTGATATGGGCACATTGGTGGTTGGGAAGCAGGCACATGGTTTGGTGGTGAAGCTTGGGTTTGAGAGGCAGGTTTATGTGAAGAGTGCACTGGTGGACATGTATGCCAAGTGTGGTTGTATTGGTGATGCGAAAGATGGGTTTCACCAATTGTATGATGTTGATGATGTTGTCATTTGGACAGCGATGATTACTGGACATGTGCAGAATGGGGAGCATGAGGAAGCCCTGATGTTGTATTCCAGGATGGACAAAGAGGGCGTTATGCCCAGTTATTTAACTGTAACTAGTGTACTTAGAGCATGTGCGTGCCTTGCAGCACTGGAGCCTGGGGAGCAATTGCATGCACAAATCTTGAAGTGTGGATTTGGTTTGGGGGGCTCTGTTGGAACAGCTTTGTCTACTATGTATTCAAAGTGTGGAAACCTTGAAGATAGCATGGTTGTCTTCAGAAGGATGCCTGATAGGGATATTATTTCATGGAACTCAATTATTTCTGGTTTTTCACAGCATGGGCGTGGAAGTGATGCACTTGACCTGTTCGAGGAGATGAAGCTAGAGGGAATGGCACCAGATCATATAACATTCATTAATGTGTTATGTGCTTGTAGCCACATGGGCTTAGTTGACAGAGGCTGGTTTTATTTTAGGGCAATGAGCAAAGACTATAGTTTAATTCCTACGCTTGATCACTATGCTTGCATAGTTGATATTCTGAGCCGAGCAGGCCAGTTAAAAGAAGCAAAGGACTTCATAGAGTCAATAACTATTGACCATGGAACATGCCTATGGCGTATAGTCCTAGGGGCATGTCGCAGTCTACGAGATTTTGATGTTGGAGCATATGCAGGTGAACAGCTGATGGAGTTAGGTACTGAGGACTCATCTGCTTATATATTGTTATCAAACATCTATGCTGCCCAGAGGAAGTGGAATGATGTTGAGCGGGTGAGACATTTGATGAGACTCCGAGGTGTTAGCAAAGATCCAGGGTGTAGCTGGGTTGAGCTTAACAGCCGAGTTCATGTGTTTGTTGTTGGGGAACAGCAACATCCTGAAGCGGAAAATATAAATGTAGAGTTGATTAGGCTAGCAAAACACATGAAGGATGAAGGGTATCGTCAAACATATAAATTCCTGTTTGATGAAGAACTGGATGCACTAGGAGAACCTCATGAAGAAGAACAATTGGAATTGATATCAACAGCGTTTAGCTGAGTTCCCAAGTGGTAAGAAAGGTTATTACTATTATTTCAACCAAAAGGAGGAATTGAAAGGAAAACTAAAAAAATTTGTAATGAAAAAAATAATCAGTTGTATCTGCACCTGAATACATAAATAGTAGAATTTTTTCTTTGTGGATCTCTAACTAAATGGTGCTTTGATAGCTATTTGAAACATCTATCCTCTATACTTAGCTTTTTTAGAAACTTATCAAAATTTATGAATCATAAGTGCTATTTGGTATTCCTTTGCAATATTGTTGCAGAGGTGATGTTGGTCATATCTACTCAGTGATGTAATGTATCAATCTTCTTAGGCATTAGTGAGGGTAGACACAAGACAATGGATTTGGAGATAGCTTTAGGACCGAGGTTCTAAATAGTATAGCTTCTTTTGCCCAAAGCCCGGAACAATGGTCCCACTTGCTGCTAAGCTACAAGCACAATGGAACTAAGTGGCCTTGCTATTTTTTCCTGGCTCATGGCTAGAGATTGCTCCATTATATATCAAAATGCCCAAATACATCTCTTATAAGTCTTAGCTATGAAAAATATAGCTGGACCCCTTATCTTCATTGTTTATTAACACTAATATTTTCTCTGGTGCAAATTTTATCTGTTTGAGTGTAAAATTAGTCCATACTCCATATGCCTTTGGATCATTAGCAATCAAATGGATTGAGAATGAGACTGTTTTGTTTTACATGTTCTAATGTCAAAGCTTAATCACTACCAATGTAGTGCGATCGGTATGTGGCCTCTGCTTTGAAATTATAGTTGTACTATCTGCTACAATATTTTAGGTCAAATTATATTTCATACTTTACGTATTTATCGCAACTTAGTTCGGATGCTGAGTTAATTCAACTTATATATATTTAGATATAGGAAAATTCTGCAAAATCAAATGAGTTACAGAAATGTTGTTTTAAAGAAATTAGAAGCACTACTTTTTGTTGAATCCCTTTTATTTTGTGTACTTATTTATTCACTATATATTATGAATTTGCATGCATATCTTGCAATTTTAATCCTTGATACCAGGTCGTGGGTTCGAAGCAGCCTCTCCGCAGATTTTGCGGGGGAAAGGCTTGCCTAGGTTTTTCCCTTCCCCAGACCCCACTCATGTGGGAGCCTCTGGCACTGGGTCTGCCTTTTTTTTTATATTTACACATTTTTGTTAGTTAAAAATAATATGACAAAATTGTATTCATACTTATATATCTACTGCTATCTGTTTCAACCATCTTTTTTGAAGCCAAACAAATTATAAACAATGTTATTGTAGTTGAATGAAGTGTTATCAGGCCCATAGTTGGCATAATATTATATGCTAAAGAAGGCATCACATGGATTTGTATTAAGTCTCATGCCATCAACAATGTATAATTAACATTATCTTTTATGTAAAGTTCCTTAGATGTGTTCTGTACTTCTGTACTTATTCTGAGTTTTATTCTACATGTTCTGAATACAGATTAGGTAATATTCATTTATAATATAATCTTGGAAAGAAATTTGAGTTGTACAACAGCAACTCAGCAGAAATTTTACTATGAAAACAACAGAGTTAGGATGGTCATATACTCATATATGCTAATCTTGATCGAAGGCCTGATCTACTACACTTGTTGCAATGTACTCATGTGGCTATAGTTTTTTAGTAGCGCTTGCACTGGAAACCTGATATCTAATGATTATCCAAGGGTCCTAAGTTAAGGTTATTTTATTGTTGCTTTCTGAGAAGTGTGTGTTAACTTTTCATTTGAGCTCGTGCTCTTTTTTCATAATATTTGTTTAAGTTGGTGTGAGTGATGTGTCTAGTGGCTGTGGATCATTATATTAAGAAGAAACTAAGATCTTTTTATAGCTGGTGAATCTTTAGACTTGGCTGGTTTCTAGCACGTGGTTATGATTTATGAATTCTTTGTAGTATATCCTATTGATTTAGAGATACTAGACTGCTTACTAATATTTTCACTCCCTGGTGGTGATGTCCTAATTATATATGTTTGCTGATTTCAATACTTTGTTGGAACTTAACTTTTCACCATGGTTCCAAACTGTGGTTGTCATCTCTTCGTAGTTGCTTTTAAAAGAACTTACTCATTCGTCTTAGGAACAACAGAAGTTGTTTTGTCATCTGGCACAGTGAAATTCTTTGAACTACCCCTGGTGCATGCTATGAAATTCTTTTTCATGCTGCTGCTTTTCTACCTTTTTATTGTGCAGTTGTATGAAATACTTAACTCCTCGCTTATTGTTATGTTTAGTTTCAGTTCTGCAATGGAATGATTACTTGGCACTATTTGTATATTGTCTTTGAGAAGCTGATTGATAGTTCGATCACTAAGCACCTGGTTTTTAGTGTGTACCGTTTTTCATTCCTCGCCTCCTGGGGAAGAGTATGGATTACTAGCCACAACTATAATTGCAAGAGTGAACTTGTAATCATTGAACTAAAGCCAACTGAAGCGAATCAAGTTCAGTGCAATTAGAACAATATAGCATGGCATAGGAGTTGAAGCAGACAACTCTGTCGAAATGGCAATACCTCAGGTTAATTGAACCACACCACCAACAGCAATATCATGTTCAATAGTTGTTAGTGACATGGTCCAGCAATTTCATTCTAGTTGTACCACACCTAACACTGTATTGGAGAAACTTATGCTTGTGTTGAGGTCTGATCTTAAGTTCCTGCTCCATAATCCAAAGAATTCTAATATGATGGAGCTGATCCTTAAGCTGCTTCTTCAATACTCTGTTTGTACTTAATTGTGTGCATGTGAGCAAACTTTGTTTTATGTTTTCTGTATCCCCATATTTAGTTTTTAAACTCTCTCTTCTCAAGCTAGACATCTCAAAAGCTTTTGATTCAGTTTCATGGCCTTTTCTTCTGGAGGTCCTGCAGCATCTTGGTTTTGGGCAGCGGTGGTGTAATCTTTTATGCCTGATCCTGTCCACCTCCTCTACTCAAGTGCTGGTCAATGGGGAGCCGGGTGCTGGTTTTTTCCATCAAAAGGGCCTCAGGCAAGGGGACCCTCTTTCCCCCATGCTCTTCATCTTGGTAATGGATGTGTTAAACTCTCTGATTAAATTTGCCACTAGTGAGAATCTCCTGCAACCTTTGGCAGTCCAGCAGGTCAGGCACCGGGTTTCTTTCTATGCGGATGCTGCAGTTATTTTTCTATGGCCCAGCAGCTCTGACCTCCTAGTTATGAGGCAGGTATTGGATCTGTTCGGTCAAGCGTCTGGAGTCCATACCAATTTTTCAAAAAGCTCTTCCTCCCCAATTCATTGCTCAGATGAAGACTCGCAGCAGACCTCTGATATTTTGGCCTGTGCAATCAAAGATTTTCCGTGTACCTATTTGGGTTTGCTGCTGACCTTGAGAAAGCCAACTAAGGAGGTGTTCCAGCTCTTCTTCATTGACAAGGTCGCGGACCATCTACCAGGTTGGAAAGCTTCACTGATGAATAGAGCAGGCCGTTTGGTTTTAACACGGGTAGTCCTGACAGCCACTGTAATTTACCTTCTGATTGCGGTGGATCTCCCCAAATGGGTTATCAGAGCCATCGACAAGAAACGTAGGGGATTTCTATGGAGAGGACAGGAAAAGGCTAATGGAGGAAATTGCCTGATAGCCTGGGAAAAGGTTCAGAGGCCTTTTGAATATGGAGGGCTGGGCATTCACAATCTGGAATATTTTGGTTGGGCACTTCGGATCCGCTGGCTTTGGGCACAGAAAACAGATCCATCAAGACCTTGGGCTGGTTTCACCATCCAGGTACCACAAAAAGCTCAAGCCTTGTTTCATATGGCGGTTGTTGCAATAGTTGGAAATGGGGACACAATTTTATTCTGGTCAGATCGCTGGATAAATGGCAACACTGGCAGAAATAGCTCCCAACCTTTATAAAACCGTCCCCAAAAGGGTGGTGAGATCAAGGACAGTAGCACAAGCTCTAAATAATAGGGTTTGGGCGTCTGACATAAAAGGGGCTCTCACTGTCCCAGTTCTGATGGACTATTTTAGGATTTGGGACTTGTTGGATAGAGTGGTCTTGCAGCAGGAAGTTCAGGATAATTTTCGATGGAAGCTGACCCAAACTGGTACATATAGCAGCAAGTCCGCTTACGAGGCCTTGTTTGTTGGTTCCATAAAATTTGCAGCATGGCGAAGAATCTGGCGGAGCTGGGCACCTCTACGCTGCAAATTCTTCATTTGGTTGGCATTAAAAGGAAGGATCTGGATGGCAGATCGCCTGGCCAAGCGTGGGCTGCAACACCCAGACGCCTGTCCTTTGTGTGACCAGGCACAGGAAACAGCCCAGCACCTTCTTTTATCATGCGTGTTCACTCGTCAGGTTTGGTTCTTCATTTTCCAATATCTGAACCTGGTCATCGACTTGCCCACGGCTGAGTCCTCTAGTTTCTCGGTCTGGTGGTGCAACACCATCCGGGCAGTGCCAAAAGATATGCGGAAAGGTTTGAACTCTCTCATCATACTTGTGGCCTGGGAGGTTTGGAAGTACCGCAACTCCCGCGTGTTTGAAGGAGTACGTCCAAGCATCCAGATACTACTCCAAACAGTGGCAAATGAGAGCTCCTTGTGGTGTATGGCTGGGGCCTCAAAGCTCCAGGAGCTCCTCACTAGGTCGCTTGTGCTGGGCACTTAGGTGCCATGGCTGCCGGTCAAGTCTGCAATTTTTTGTTGGCAATTTTTGTTTTCTGTTTTGGTGGGTGTGTTGGTGTGCAAGGATTGGGGGGTCTCCCCTAATCTTTTGTATCTGTTCACTTCTTTCTTAATGAAATGACGTGTAGCTCTCCTGCGTAGTTTGAGAAAAAAAAAAGTTTTTAAACTCTCTCTCTCTCTCTCCTTCCCTCCCTCCCTCCCTGTGTGTACTGCTACTGATAATTGTATAGCAAACTCTTGGTTGACCAAAAACCTCTCGTATTGTTTCTGTTGGAGACGACTGAAGATGTCATGTG